AGCTAAGGGAGATGTGGATTTCTTGTAGTTTTTTAAGATGTAGGAATCAGAGAGCATTAGCATTTGAGTTGTACAGAAAGCAGACACTCCCACAGGAAAAAAACATAACAGGCAGAATCAGGCAATACCAGTCTTTAGCTAATTTATCTGTGAAGCGAGTTGCAAACACATGAAACCCAGTTGCTATGGCACCAAGACATTGAAAGCAAGCATGATTCTTATGTTTAAAGATTTGTGAAAATCCGGGTTACGTACAATTAGTGTGAAGTCCAAGGAAAAAAAAAAAAGATGCTTGTGTAAATTGTACTGCTGCCACTCCTCAATAATCCATTACAACAGGTGTCAATTTAGATAAAAGGTAAAAAAAAAAAAAAAAAAAAAAGGGTGAGTGTAAATACTCTTCTCCATGCTCTGGTTAAATATTAGCACTTGAAAGCATTTTTGTTTTACACAGTCTGACGGACACTCCAAGTCTGAATAGAGGGCCCAGAAAAATCTGCACTGTTAGGCATGGAGAGGACACTTCTTCTGATGTAAGAGTCTCTCTGAAACTCGCAACTAGAAGGGGTGTTATTTATTTTTTATTTTTTTTGGAGCAAGCATGTTCATGTGAATGAGCGTGTGCATTGTCAGTGCTTATGCTCTCCACCTCAATCAGCCCGGAGGAGCTTGTTTGCAGGCCTCCTCTTTGATGTCTGATGACACGCATGTCGGTGCCATGTTATCGTCGTGACTCACGTTTAATCCAGTGCGAGCGTCTCTCTCTGCTTTGAATTCCCTTGAATAAATATTACAATATGAATGAGACCTGTTGTGCAGGAACAGAATGTGTCTGATTAGGGAAAATTGGTTTAAAACAAAAGGGTGACAACAGCGTATGCACATGTTTTCTTGCGGGCACAGGTTTGTGCAGAGAAGACCCACCTACCCCCCGCTTGGTGTCCACTTGTAAGTTTGATAAAGTCTAATAAAACTGCCTAAGAAACCATATGAGCAATCTGCTGCTGCGGTAAGGGCCAGAACTTCAGTTTATACACTACGTTACAAACACAACAAGCACCACAGGGAAAGCAAGTCTTATTTATTTTGCATTCCATTATTTGATTGAATTCCTCCTTAGGAGATGCCTCTGGCAGAGGCACAAAGAAAATCCGCAACACAGCCCTGAAAGTCTCCATTTTTAAAACACAGAAAGCATGACTTTGTCACTTTTTTTTTTTATTTCAGTATTTTTGCTATGAAAAGGCAAGCTCAACTGGAGATGTTTCCATTATTCATGCAGAGTTTAACACAAGTAAATCCCTCTTTTCCATAAATCCAAATATTTCTATCAACTCTGGCTCTTGGCATGTTCTGTTTTGTATTTAACAAAATGCAAAGAAGCCACTATTTAATTAATTCACTGTTTCAGTTTGCAGATAACCGAAAGTTTTCACAACACGGGATTGAAGACAATTCTACTTCAGTGTGGCACTGTAGCATTTCCTATCCGAGTTGTGCAGGCTGGTGTGTGTGTGTGTCTCCTTGCCTCTTTCTTCACAGGGCGTTACTGGCAGGTGCCCTCCCACAGCTGCTGCTCATCAGGAACAATAAGGAGGAGCTTAAACTGCAGCAGAGGCAGATGCCAGATTGTTTTGCTCTCGTGCATGGTAATCAGGCCTACCTTCTCTTGTGTTCTTTCCTCCCCGCGTGTCTGACGCTAATTCTTGCTGTTCTCCGTTTTTACAGGAAGCAAATCCGTGTTCATCCTCGGCTCACTCATTTCAGTGCACTGCTTCCCGCTGTTTGTCGGAGGAATACTCCCCAAATTCCTCTGCGTGATTTTCTGGTTGTCCTGCTGATTTCAGCTGTTTGGATCACTCCAGCAACTTACCGATCATCACTCACTTCCCATTCCCTCTGGAAGAAAACAAAGGAAAGCTTTACTAAAACACAGTTCACTTCAACCTGCTGATCTTTGTAGATATTCATCTCCTCCTCAGAGACAATCCATCAACTACAATATCTCATTTTAATTCTTTATTTTCTTTGTCAAACAATAAATACTTACTTCTCCTCCTTGGCGACAAACCGGAATCCTTCCAAAATCCCAGAAGAACCGCCAACTTGTACACTGTTGTCATTAAACCTTTCAAAACTTTATGTTGTGTCCATAATTGTTGCTGGAGCTGAAGGAAATATTCAAACAAATATGACATTTTCATTTCATTGTCCTTGACAAATTATTCGTTACTGGAATATTTGAAATGGTAATCTTTAAAGGGCATCAAATTGAGTGAAATTCTAAGAATTGTATGTGCATTAGGACCATTGGATATTCGCCACCTTTAAGACCCATTTAACCAAAATGAATCTATCATAAATATTTTTTTTGGTCATTTGATCAACATTTAATGTTTTAACAGCATGAAATAATGTCTTTATCACAGTGGTAATATGCGCAGTACTTTGCAAAAATGTTTGATCACATCACATTTGCAAATTTCAGTACATTTGGAATGCTATGCGACAGACCAAAAACGCACTTCTGCATTATTTTTGAAAACGAAGAAAAAGGACCTGTTTTCTTCAATTATATAATTTCTGAAAAGTGTGGCATGCATTTGTGTTCAGTCACCTACTCTGATACACCAAAATAAAATAAAAATTAAATTGCCTAATTTATAAATAGATTCCTCAATGATTTCTTATGAGCATCAAATGGCCCCTGTAAGACACACTGGACGTGTCCAACTGAAGTGTGAGGAAAACCTCCATTTCTGTGGCTTTTAGTCAAATGGTGTTATTTATTTATGCCATCAGGGAGCATAGCATACCAATCAGAAACGTATGGTAAACAAAATGACGTTTTCTGACTTGCAATTGATGAGACTGAGTTAAACATCTCTTTATATTTTTCAACTGAAACACAAATCTTATTTTTTTTTTAACTATGGTTTCAGCAGAAACTGCTATGAAAGCTGGAATCAAGTGGCACTTCCCTTTGTGTTGAGTGTTGAGCAGGCCTAAAAAGAACTGTTGTGATCACTTTCATTACGATAATTATATACTTCTCTGCGTTAGACTAGTGCATAACATCCCAAGAGAACACATCAAAAGTATGTGGTTGTAATGTGACAAAGTGAGAAAAAGTTTATTTTGCATTAGTGCTCCTGCAAGACCCTGAAATTTCTTGCTATCCAGAAATCCATCTGTGTTTTGTGTCTGCACCTCCCTGCACAATCCTTTTTATAACCACAGTTGGTCCACGCCAATCCCACACTACTCAGCCCACTTCGCACTTAAAATGGACTGCTGGGCTGCTGGGCCGCAGCGCTCCGCAGCATGCTCTCATTGCCAGCTCAGGCAGGTTCAATATCGCTCAAAACGAAGAGCAAAGCTTAAAATGAATTACACATTCAGCCCAGGAATTATTCAGTTCATGCACTCCTGTTATGTTCAAACAGTCAATATAAAAAGCTTCTGATAGCTCGCACCCAGAGGGCCAAAAAGATTTGAATTAATTGCTATAAGAACTAAACTAGTGAAAATTGGGAGCTAAATGGCTCCCCGTGGAATGTGATCAGGGAACTACTGTTATCGTACCACTGCAAGAGTATCTCTAATGGCTGGGTGCAGTCGCTACCCATAGATCATTCTGTCCCTACTCACGCATGACTATATTGTTTCAGCGTTTTCTAACGGAAGCCTGTAGGGTTCATTAGTCCTTATTGATTATTTAATTAACCGGATCACAATGTGCTGAGTGAGCACAATCATGAGGGGTGAGGAGTCCCATTAATTAAAAGATGTCTTCATGTGGGGGACTGGGTGAGCGTATGTACAATAAGAAGATGCTAAAACAAAATGCAATGTTTTTGTGTTTTTTTTCCTCTATAGTACTGAAAAGTGTCTTTTGTGAAGGAACAGGGGCAGGGAGGGACAGGTAATGAGGTTTTGAACCTCTGCCTCTTGACTGGGTTTGGCTCCAATCCTGGGCTTTGCCAAAACCCAATAGAATATCTTCTTTGCCCCCAGTAAAAATTTCCCAGGGCTTATATGAGCCAGTTTTAAACAAATACATTGAATGAGGATCCACTTTAAAGTTCACTAGGTAAGGCAAATATACTTGCATAGCACATTTTCATAAACAAGTCAATTCAACATAATGTTAGAGCTACATGACGCTGACCCACTTAGAGTGAAATATCAAATAAAAATGCTTACCTGCATCAATTGACATGAGTGAATCTACTCCTGGCGTCCAACACTTCCTAATCCACTTTAAAGTACAAATTAAAGGTAGTGACATTATTTAAAGATTCAAATGTGTCAGTACTTAATGGATTAGATTATATCCTTGAAGTCTGCAAAGCAAATGAAGTAAAGCCCACTTGAGCACCGAGGAAAGATACCACACGACAAGTGGTTTTGGTAATGAATTCTCTTATCCTGCAAACTAATTGCTGTCATTACGTCGGTTGTGATTTATTCTGAAAATTGTAACTTCAGCCTGAGAACATTTTTGAATTATACTTTTAGAAGGCATTATTTGCCAATAAGCGATTATAGCCAAAGTTTGATGAACATGATTTTATTTATGTAGCATCAGTTCAAAATGTAAAACGGTACTCCAGAAGACCAAAAGTTGACAAGTTAGTCTCTGTTATTGAGTATGTAATTCTGAAAGGACTTTAAAAAAAAGTCAGCCCCTAACCTTTTTTGGGATCAGCATGAGGATTTTTATCCAAAAGAAATGCTCTTCCAGAAATCCATCTGCTCTGGGAATCCAAAAGGATCCGACTGACCTCTTAACACCTCCATGCTGTGGGGTTTCTCTGACTTCTCCAGAGAGAATCCATGGAACAGCAGGTGAAGTTAATAATGACGTCACAACGGATAATACGAGTTTGGCTTAGGTTTGCTTTGATTCATGCAAGGGTAAGGAAAAAACAAAAACAAAACACTGGACATCTACTAGTTAGCAGAAGCTTTCAGTGATGTGGCAGATAACAGAAGACTCCAGAGCGTTTAAATAGAGCAAATCAGAGGTTAGTGAAATTGCACGGATTGCAGCAGAGGATGATGGTGCGGTACAGTGGAAAACAGACAGACATCAAATCATATAAATATTGAGAAGTCCAATTTAATCCTTATGGTAGAGAACTTTCAAAGTCCTATCTATCTGCCTATCTGGAAA